ATTAGCATTATTATTATTAGCATTATTATTATTAGCATTATTATTATATGTCTATCTTTCTTGTTCTCTCTCTGTCTCTCCTAAACAGGTTCAATACAAGGATCGCTTCCACCTACGTTGCAACTCGCGAGGCGTTTTGGAGAACCGAACTCGAAATCGCTCACAGCACAGAGCTATACAGCTTGGTCTCCACAGGCAACTCCATGCAGCCTCCTAGTGAGTGATGTGTGCGTGTTTGCTCGTCTGAATGATGTGTGTATGTTTGTCTGCCCTAAACAATAGTTTGTCTGTCAATGTGTAATCTCCCTATTACAACTTTTTGCCCAGCTGTTTCTTCTTAACCAGGTATTCAGTGGGCGCTCCTATGTGGTTTGGTCCATGTATTTCCTTCATCCGTTTTTTTATTGGGTTTTTTTCCCCCTGATCTATTCCTGGAGAAATGGAGTCGTTACCTTAATGAACAGATCGTAACTCAGCGAGCTTTTTTTTTAGTTGTTTTTTTTAATTGTTTTTTTGTTGTTGTTAGTTTGTTGTCATTGTTTTTTGTTTTCTTTTTTAACTTGCACCCCTGACTATGTGTTTATGAAAGTCGTTGACCGTAGTTACGAAAACAAACACCAGGAGTTGCCAGCTCATTTTTCGAATGAGTAGAGTCCTGGCATACGTCAGTAAACAGAAATTACGGTTCACTGGATAACATGGTAATTGAAGGAATGGTTGGGGGGAACTAAAGAGGAAAGGGACGACCAAGAAGAAGGATGATAACAGGGCATTAGTGACTTGATCGGAGAAAGCATCACGGCAGCAGGGAGATAGACAGAAAAAAACCCAAGGAAAATTACATCATCTCTGTTGCTACATAAAGGGTTTTTATTCGTACTTCTTTGTTTCGTTCTGGTGCACATACGTGCACACTTTTATTTTTTAGACGATGCGCTCTGACGTAATTCCGTTTTACAATGAAGCGCACTATTTGACTCAGTTTGAAGTCAAATGAAAGGGGGGAAAAAGAAATAGGGAAAAGGAGGGGGGGGGGGG